AGAATAAATCCCTACCCTGTCTTACAGCATCCTCACAGTTGTTATGCTGTGGCCCATTGCTGCAGTCACTGTGTCAATCCTCACTCAAAATCTTCCTCCTTTTCCCTATCCTTCCATCTGAGCAAGCAGGAGGTGCTTTCCCAGGGAAGGATGTCTCCTGATGACATGTCCAAAGTCAAGAACATGAAGTCTTGTCTTGACATCTTGCTTCCAAGGAGAAGTCTGACTGCTTCTTCCAGGTCCAAAGTATATGAGATGAAATCTCACCATCTTCACAGTCCATGGGATGTTCAACATTTCATTGTCAGCACCATAATTCAAATGTGCCGAATCTTCTTCGCACTTTCTTATTCAATGTCAAACTATTGCATGCACACGAGGGTACTGAAAATACCATGGTTTGGATCAGGCACATCTTAGTCCCCACATTGAAATCTTTGCTCTTCAGCACAGTGAAGAGGTCTTGTGCAGCAGACAGTGGGTTAGAGATGCCGAGTTAGGGGTTAGCATCCAAGTGATCTAACCACTGTGCCACTGGGGCTCCTTTGGGGTCTCTATACCACCCGGTCCCCCTGCACCCTCCCCACACACACACCCCAGAGGTTGTGTTTTTCCCTTCAGTTTTCAAGTTCCCTATCTCCAAATAAAAATGATTAAAAACTGATGCTAATCTTTCAGATTGGTGAAACTATGTAACATTTCTATATTTGCATCGATAGTTAAACTTTAAATTATCTCACAGAAATTTCATACAATTGCAGCATTTGCAGCTGATTTTTCACTGTGATTTGCTGTCAAAAATGTCAAGTATTTGTTTGGTGAGAGTTTTCTCATTTTAAACATATTGCGGCATAAAACATTTTTTAATATTGAAAATTTTAGATTTTATGTGGTCTTTATAGAACTTGCAAGGCCAGCTGTCTTTGATGCTCCTTTAGCACTCATAAATGCCCACACGATACCCACACGATACCCCACCCCACCGCAAGACAGCCTCCTGAGCAAAGCTTCACTCCTTTCCTGCACTGGAAGGCTCCTACACGCAGCAAGGTCTCAATCCTGCTCCTCAACTGCTTCACCATGCAGGGATCTCAGGAGGGCTTCCTTCCCAAGTCTCTGTTCCTGCTTTGAAATGACTCACTTTTTACCCAGTAGAATGGTAAACCTGACCAGCCCCCTCGGTTCGTGTCCCATGGCCCGTTTGCGTGATCCACCACTCTACGTCAGCTTGTGATACTGCGGTGGCTTTCACGCTGCTATGAAGCTGAAAGCTTTGTCATCAATATCTCAACACCCAGCATGCTCAGCTCTGGTGAACAGGTTTCAGTAGTTTCCAGACTAACAACGAGGAGGAAGAAGGAAGTGGCTGTCTCCTACCGAGGAGTAGCTGAAAAGCGTGGTCAAATAGAACCCCCTCCGGTGCAAGGCACTCAACATAGGCCTGGAGAAGAGCTGCCTCCTCAAAGCAGAGTCAACTTGGCGGACTTGGAGACAGTTTGGGGACCTTTCTTGGCTAATGGGGCATGCCGGAAATGAGAACAGCTGCAAAGATACTTCAAATCAGCATATGGAATGTAGGAAGTGTGAATCTAGGAGCATTGGAAGTTGTCAACATTGAAATGGGGGCACATAAACACCAATATCCTAGGCAATGAGGAGTTAAAGAAGATGGGTATTGGTCATTTTAAGCTGGCAATCGTGTAGTTTACTATGCTAGGAATGAAAAAACTAAGAGGAATGATGTCTCATTCATCAATTAAAAGAACATTTTAAGGTCTATCTTGAAGTGCAATGCTTTTTGTAACAGGACGATATTTATACACTTACAAGGAAGTCCACATCTGTAGGAAAGAGGACAGGGAAGTTCAATATCATCAGATACAGGAGGCCTGGTCCTGACTATAAAACACAGGATACATTGCTGATACTTAAGTTCTGATACCTTGACTCGAATATAATGAATATATTCTTGACTATATCTGATTTGATTTATGATAATATTTCAAGGACAGATTTGATGCATTGAACATTAATTACCAAAGATATGACAAATTGTGAGAAAGCATTAAGAATATTATAAATTCTACCTTGCAAGTCTGGCTAGACCAGAGGATGTACCCTGGTACAGATAGGAACTGGAAATACAGGGAATCCAGAGTGGGTGATCCCTTCAGGACCAGTGGTGTGAGTGGTGATACTGGGACCATAGAGGGAGGGTAGGCTGGAATGGGGAACCAATTACAAGGATCTACATGTGACCTCCTCCCTGCGGGATGGACAACATAAATTATCACGGGTTTATGAGGGAGAGGGAAGCTGGGGGCGGGGCGGGGCGGGGAGGCTGTAAAAATGAGGAGTGGTGCCTGGGGCTTAAGTGCAGAGCAAATGTTTTGAGAATGATGAGGGCAATGAATATACAAATGTGCTTTACACAATTGATGTATGTATGGACTGTGATAAGAGTTGTATGAGCCCCTTCTAATAAAATGATTTAAAAAATAATATTATAAATGAAGAAAGAATTATAAAAAAGCCAGGGGAAAAAGGAAAACATCAGAGTGGATGTCACAAGAGATTCTGAACTTTTCTCCTGAGTGTAAAGTAGCTGAAGAAAATGGAAGAGGCGATCAAGTAAAAGAGCTGAGCTGAATATTACATACTGAATATTCTTGCAAATCAAGAAGACAAAATAGACAGTTACAATGAAATGTGGAAAGACCTAGAATTAGAAAGCCCCCCCCCCAAAAAAAAACATGTTCAGCTTATCTCAAGCTGAAAGAAATGAACACAAAAGTTCAAGTGTCAGGTGAAAATATTGAAAGGTTCTATGAGCAAAATATTGATTGATGCAGGAAGAGAAAAATATAGAAAAGATACATAATCACCTTACCAAAAAAGAATTGTTTGTTGTTGAACCTTTTCAGAGGTAATCTATGATCAAGAACAGGTTGGTCTAGATATAAAAAAGAATCCAAGCTACCCTGACGTCATTGGCAAAATATGCTCTCGGAATTGATGGAAAACCAATCAAAATGCTTCAAAACGCTGATGAAGCACTGGAAACAATCACAAATCTACTGAAAATATGTGGCCAAACAACTGGAATAGATCTATAGTTGTGTCATTCCAAAGAATGATGACCCAACAGAAGACAGAAATTATCTAACAATGTAAATTTAAAAAATGATATGCCAGTACTTTTTGCTGAATTTAATTCAGCAATGGTCACAGCAATACATTGAAAAGAAGCTTCCAGAAATTCAAGTGTGATTCAGAAGAGGATGTGACATGAGGGATGCCCATGCTGATGTCTTTGCCTTGAAAGGACAGTGGGTTAGGCTTGGTTCCCTGCATAAGCAAATCCTGTGACCCTCCCAGATGTGTACGAAATACCTTTGGAATGTCTTGGAAGAAGTACAACCAGAACATTCCAGAAGTGAGTACAGTGAGACTTCGCCTCACATACTTTGGACATATTATCAGGAGAGATTAGTCCATGGAAAAGGACAACATGCTTGGCATCCTATAAGATTAGGGAAAGCAGAGGAAGCCCTTCAATGAGGTGGATTGACACAGTGACTGCAACAGTAGGTTCAAGAGTAACAAAAACTGTGAGTATGGTGCTAGACGGGGCAGTGTTTCATTGTGCTATACACTAACCGTGTCAGAGACAGAACTGGCACCACAGTTCCTTACAATAACAAGTGTCATGGCTCCACTTGCTGAGAGTTACAAAGATTGTGGACAGAAGAGTCACACTATTTAGTTTTGTTTCTCCTCAGACTCCAATCCCTTTTCTCCGTCTAAATTGCTGCTTTTGCTATTATTTTTTAAAAGTGGCATCCTAATTCCAAGATCTACGAGACATGCTCAAGAGACTATTCTCTGACTTGAGGGCAGGCCCTCGTTAGCAACAGATTCTATATTACAGAGAATCTTAAACCATTTAAATAAAATTAGATATGTTTCTTCCGCTAACAGAAATGATATTCTCATTTCAAAGAAAAAAAACACACCCAAACAAAGAAAACATTATTGATGAAACTAACATCTTGGATATTTTTCTTACCTTATATTAAAGAAAAATATCTGGAAATATAAGTATGAGGAAACTTCAAAAACTTTGTGGAAAAGTGCAATTACATTTCCATTCATTTTTCACAAACTTTTGGAAGTCCTCTGGTATTAGATACTAAGAACTTGATTCACTTTCTATGTTGGGAAGATATATAACACATATGATGAGCATATATTATGGTTCAAAATAGTAATATCAGGAAATATAATAAATACATAAGGGGAATGAGAAAAATAGGAAAGTCAATATGAAGTTTCTAAGTTTCTCACATTAATCATACTTAGCTTCCAAGAACCAATATATTTTGTTAGTAATATAAATCTGTATAAGACGAAAGTATGAAAATTTCATGACTCCTAATTATTCAATTAAAATGCTTTGTTTGAATACCTGGCTTTCTTTCATTTGGTAGATAAAATGCAAAATAAGGCATGAAATATTGAAATTAACTTACCAAACTCTAGGGTTTAATGATCAAAGGAAAATTAGGTGTAAAATATATGACTTAAAGAGTAGATCTTAAAGTAAAATAAAAAAATGAGTTTCTTCAGTAATTGATTTTTAAAATTAATATATTTTCCAAGAAGAATTATTTGTGAATGAGTCTGATGACACATTTTAAACTTCAAGATATGGTAAAAGTAAGTTTTAGAATAATTCTACCCAGCATCAAGTGAATGTTCAATCATCCCCTGAATTCAAGCTATAAAGTTAAATCAAGTCTTGTATAAATGTCAGGAATGTTTGCATGGTCTGTAGAAAGCTTAATTTGAACTTTTATATACCAATATTAACTTTTATTTAAGTTAACTTTTTTATGGATAAAAACCACAAGCACTGCTTCCCTAATCGTAAAAGTATGATTTAAAGGAATAATAATAAATTGAATTCAAGGTTGTGGATGAAAATGCATGTTTTTTACCCTGGCAGAGAGGCGAGGGGGAGTCCCATTGATACATGCCAACTGGGTTCCGCACACAAGTTGCATTGCTGTGGCCAATCATTCTGTAGCCAGGCTTGCAAAAATAATGCACTTGACTTCCAACTGTTCCTGCCGTCCTGTTTAAAATGCCACCATTCTTCACTGTGGGCGTCAAACTGCAGTAAGGCGCTATGGACAAATACACAAGTGAATTCTTAAATAGGTTTTTAAATTCCCCTAGCTTACATTTATATAAATGAAGTATATATTTGATAAGTAATGAGAAATGAGCATCAACATTCAGATTTGTTCTACATAGTCTCAGGGAAAAAATTAGTTCTAAACATCAAATCACTTATTTTTTCATTCTTATTATCTGCCTTAATTAAGCCACTTGAAAGTAGAATCCTGACAAACCTTTTGTAAAGAAATAGATCCCATTGCATTTCTCTACATGTCTTTTCAAGGCTGGTCAAAGAAGCAAACCATTAATTAGCCAGGCTAAAAATTATGAACTAGTTCTCTGCACATCATATTTATGAATATAAATGTTAATGGTTAAAAGTGTCTTATTTAAACATGGCAAGAAAGAAATTCATTTTATCCTGAAAAACCAGCATATTGCAGCATAAAATCCTATGGATTTTCTTCAGTAGCGTTAAAACAATAAAAAAGAGAAACATACGAAAATACTTGGCTCTAGTTAAAGGAAAAAATATTGAATACATGACTTTCCTATGAGGGTTCTATATAAAAGAACACGTATACAGGTTTGAATGCTTAATTTAAAACCTTTTCTTAGAAAGTAACTTTTACATTCTGCTTGACAGGATTAGATTCTGGAACGATAAGAAAAAAATGTAAAACTACATTTTGCAAGGGTCGTAGTATAGCACTGACCAGAGTACTATCTCTGTGGTTGGCCTCAATTGTCAACAATGGTTCTCAGAGAATAATCTCAGCTGGGAAAGCCCTCTGAAGGTCTCTTGAATATTTTTAATAGGCCAATTTTATTTTGTTAAAATCCATTAACCTGGGCACCAACCAAAACTAAACACACTGCCAACAAGTTACTTCTGTCTTATTGAGACTCTATTGCACAAAGTAATACTGCCCCTTAGGGTTTCTGAGACGGTAAGACTTTTAGGGAATACGCAGCCCCGTCTTTCTTCCAGAGTAGCTGGTGGGTGTGAATCCTACCTTTTGGTCTTAAGACTTAACCAAAAATACAACCAGAGCTCAACAAAAAGGCAAAGGCCATTGTTGGACAATGCTTACAAGCAATACAGCTAACTCTATCTGTGTTCCAATAAAATTTAAAGTATTCTAAAATAATTTCCTTTATATGATAAAGATATTTGGTAAATGTACCCACTGTCCATTGTTGTCATGCCCTGGTCTCTAACCTTTACAATGCATGAAAAATATGAATCAACATATACTTCATGTTTTCCTAATGTATTTTATTGTATCCGTAATTTCTGATCAAAATTTGGGTTTACATTTTAAATCTCTATCTAAAATCTTTAGTTATTGAAGGTGCTTATATTAAACACACCAATATACTTAATTTAAACTTCATTTACTAACCTGCATAACGAATTTTGAATCCTTTTTTACTGGTTGCATGATCCGTGGACCAACGGAGATACAGCTGATTACCTTTACTTGTAAAATTGGATTGTTCAGTATGGTTTCCGCTTAAGACGACCAATAGAGGACTTTGCCCAGAAGGACCTAAATGAAAAAGAAAACATGGAAGTATGAATGTGAGTTAACATCTATGATTTATAAATAACACTTTTATATTTTGAGTAATTTGAATTCTAAATGAGCAACATACAGGTTATTTATGTCCAACCTGGGAAATAATTCCAAATAAAAAGAATACCAAATACCTTTTAATAAAAATGACAACATCAAAAACCTACAGGAACAACCTCAAATACATATTTGCTCCCACATTTGGAACAAGACCATATGGTTCTCCTTGCCACTGGGATGAGTTACCACATCTTTGAGGCTTATGTTTATAGTTTTTTACTTGGATGAAGATATTGGGGTAAAAACTAAACTTTACTCATTGTTCAATACTGGTATAATCCATATGGTTAAAGCCATTTCAGTTTGATCAGATGAAGGGTAATAATAAAAATGCTTTCTTGTCCTGGGTTGTATTTCTTGACAATGTCCTGTAACAAGACTGTACACTTGTAATTAAGAAACGCAGAAATGTTTCTTTGGCCATTTACTTATTGCTTCATTTTAAAGAGATGATTCACATTTTAAAACACAATGCTACTGAGAAATTAAGCTGAATTAATGAGATCATAAAATGTCATTTTTGATGGCAAAAAGCAAAAGGGAAGAATTAGGATTTATGAACATTTAAATATGCTTTCATTACCTTGTCTTTTCCAATCTTATTGCTTTGTGTATAATATAGCAATATTTATAAAAGGTGTATTTTAAAATATATGTCCATCCAATTATCCTGGAAATATCCTGGTCATAAGGACAATAGCAACTCAGACTCTTCAATACTTTTCTGAATAAACCGAGTCATCTAATGTTGACAAATGTTACGGGTTATCCACTACTTGAACCACAGAGAGTGAGCTATTCCTGGATTAATAAAGTTCAAAATCCATTTATTCAACATGTTTTCAGTCAATTCATAAGCTATAATAGAGTTTATGTCTTAAAAAGAGAGAGGGGGAGATGCAATGAACATGACATTTACTACAACAAAAATGCCACCGCTTTAAAAAGTATTCACTTGAAACTCTGGCCTTTCATTTTATAGAGAAATCTTTGTGACTGGAACAAACCCCATCATCGATCTCTGGTCATTTGACAGCAGCTGCTATGGTATTGTCTCTAGCCTCTACCTCCCTCTCTGTTCCCAGTCGCACTGCTCTCCCTACATTTCTAGGAAACCAAATGGAATTTAATTGGTGAATGAATTGCTGATCATGATTTTTCTTACGTCGCAGTCTCTGTCTTGTGCAAATTATTGTAAAACAAGACAATAAATGCTTTATTAAAAATAGAATCTTAGAAAAAAATGTATGTACAAACACAGACAGCCACTATGGTTGACTGCTTTCCTTTTTTTTCTCTTTTCATGATCCGTAAAGGCCCTGGGTAGAATCTACCTGGCTTCCTTCATGGTGTGGAAGCTCAAACTCTGTAAATGAAGCACTTCTAAGTATAGTAAAGATTGAGGTAAAGGTCTCTTACAACGCATGTCCATTTTAATGAACAGTATTTTTTAAATATGGTGAAAAATTAAAATATGTTTTCTGCCTCTATTTCTACATTGTAATTCCAGTTTACATTGATTTCCAATTTTGAAGTTGACCTTTTTAAATATAAAACTGATTCATGTGGTGCCTATCCAGTTTGATTATTATGATTCATGAAGTCAGTATAAGGCATGCAAATGCAAATAGAATAAATTACACTAATCTTTTCACTTGAATTGATTCTTATTTATTTGAACTTGATGGCAAATCAGTCAAAACATGTAAAAACTCTGCTATTATTTATAATAATAATTACAGCAATTAAACTTTATTCTACGTTTTTTGGACTATGATGATGTTTTTATACAGGGAAATTTTTCAACTTGCCAATTCAAACACATGCTATTTTTAAATATAGTTCAGTTGTACAAAAATATTCATTAGAATTATATTAAAATACCAAATGTGTTTAAAAAAACAGGATTAGCCTCTATTAATTAGCATCTATTACTTTTTCTTTCTTTGCAAATCGCACATTAAAAGTCTTCTAGCATAATATCATGCAGAAATCTGGGGTCCCATTTTTAAATATTCCTAATAAAACCATGATTGAATTTAATTAAAATAGATCTAACGATCATTTGAATCAATATCATACTTAAATGAGAAAAGAATAGATGTGTGGAGTCATCTATCCAAAATTCCCAGAGTAAATAATTTGACAATCTATAAAGCAAGTTCAATCCATTTTCACAGTAAATCATTAAATGCTGATAGCTTAAAAGTTGTGGAAATGACAACAGTATGGTGATGTTCTACAGAAGACTTGAGCTCTTAGTATGACCATCCAAGAATAATTGTTTTATAAAAGAGTGTGATCTAACTTGAGCCTCTCTTCAAATCCTCGTGATACTGAAAATATTAGAAAGTATTCTATATTATATTGCATATAGGTCACAGGTATGTAAACATAGATTAGGTAGAGTAAGAAATTTACCATCAAATACTTCCAGTGCATCAAATTGTTTTTCACTTTGAAATGTATCCACAAAGAGGGTAATGTTATAGTTTGGGTCCACTTTAATACTCCAAGAGCACGTCTGGGAGTTGAAATAGTTGCCTGGATACCCTGGACTGAGGATTACTCCGGACGATGCTGTGCGGACTTCATTTGCTGGGCATTGTGCTAGAGAGAAAATTTCAGGGGACAGTTTTACTTTACAGAATGTTTCCAACTTTAATAAGATAGCTTCTATTCCTGTACATAGACACCAACAAAAGGAAAAAAATCACAACAGAAAAACAAAACAACCTAGTTGTGCTGTCATTAGTTTTATAGAGGGTGCCACAAACAAAGGGTAGATACATTGAATGACAATAATTTAAACTAGGTAGACAGATGGATAGAAAGATTGATAGAGAGGTAATCCTCGTAAAAATACAAGGACGAAAACAACTTAGTCTCAAATCTCACTTTCATCTTGAGAGGTAAAAGGTTTTTAAAATATACATCATGCAAGTTCAAAAGTGAACATGCTGATATTTCTAAAAATAAAAGAGATGGGAAAGAGGTCATAACTAATATTTGCATTTACCTTGTATAACGTCAAACCCTGGCGTTTCAGGAAGTTCATAAACATATCTTGACCTTGAAATAAGAGCCAGAGCGATTCCTGACTCTGATGAAAATTAAAGGCAAAATACTACCCTCAGAGATATGATCAAGAGCAAACATAAGGTTTTGTTTCTTAACTTTCAATCTCAGTGGACAGAAAGTATTATGAGAATCTTAGGATATTTTATCCACACGCCAGTCTTTTATAGTGACAACATGTTTTTGTGTGTGGTATTACATGTGAGAAATATGTAGCTCATCTCGCTGTACCTGGGGGAGGAATGGATGACACATCGGGCTGTTAACTGACAAGATCAGCAATTCAAAACCCACAGTCCACTCCCTGGAAGAAAGATGAGGTTTTCAACCACCATAAAGGTTTCCGTCTTTGAAACCCACCTGGGCAAGTTCTAATAATCCTACAGGGTCTCTATGAATGTGAATCAAACAATGATAGTGAGATTTTATCTGCTGCTAGATCTATAGGAAGACTGATTTTTTGTGATTACATCGATACTTATTATAGTTATTAGATGCACTGAAACTGCAGGTCATTTGGAAATAGCAAACATTTTCCTGATTAGCCAATCTACCTGGAGAGCTGTTAGCACATCCCAAGGTGGCAGTGCAGTAGTTTTTAAATCAAAAGCTGAATCTTAAGCTTAGTTGATCTTATTCCTTCTACTTTCAAAAGGCTTATTTTGTAGGCTTTTGTTGTTGTTGTTGTTTGAGAAAAGAAGGGAACATGAAACTATAAGCGATGTTATTTGTATCATTTTTCTTACAATGCTTACCAGTATATTTTTCTCAGAGATACATTCTTTTTAAATAAATTTGAATATGTTTCCCCATGAGCTAAGGTGGTTTTGATTCAATTTTCTTCTCTTGCTTCTTTCATATGAGCTGATTCCTCCTGTTCATTCCTATAAACTGTTGCTAGGAGCAACGCCCACTTACGGTGGGAAGGGTTCAAACAACGGCAGGCGTTTTAGAGCTGCACTGCTCATTTTTCTAGCAGCAACCACACATTAGAAACACACTGTATCTCCGCTAGGGACTATCAGAAACCTCCCACCGCAGGGAAGCATCTGCTGGTGGTTCCTATCATAAACACATCTGAAAAAAACCTGCCACCATAACAATATTCATTGTGTGCTTTGAATCATCAGACCCCTGCACAATAATATTTATTTAGTTTTTTCTTAATGGAAAAGAAATGTGAAGCTCAAAATCCAAAGTACATGATCAGGTTTCAGCAAGAGAAACATAGTTCAAAATGAAGGTTTTCAGTCATGGAGTTGAACGCTGTGAGGTACCGGTAACAGGGAGAGAACTGTGCGCCTACGGGTACTCCACACACTTGGGGAAAGCTGCTACTTGCGGATCGTAAAACTCCATGGTCATTATCACACACGTGCAAAAGGAAGCTGACAATTGTCTGCCATGTTTATGGGGCCCCTTCTGGTGCTTTCCAGAGAAATAGTCATTATCAGAAGGTCGTGGGTCTCCTTAGCATTCAGTTACAAATTAATAACAACAATGCTTTTATAGTTCAGGAAATCGTTGACAGATAACCACTGTATAAGAGGAAGACCAGCTGGTCCCACTCGCAGCTTTCCCCACTTAATACCCCTCCTCGGAGGCACAATTTCAGAGCATGGTACAAGGAGCTACTTCATCTTTTCTGGACAACTTCCCAGCTTTCAAACCTTTGTTGCCACTTCTCTCTACTCTTTTCAGTGTTTCTGTTTCCTTAACATCAGAAATGTCATTTTCATAATATCTCTCACCAAATTAAAATCGAGCATGGTAAATAATTTTCCAGGTATAAAGTCAAATTAGGAAGAGCAATCTATTCTCATCACTTCCTCCAAAATTATTATTTTCAAGGCAGAACTTCTAAAAGTGTGGTTATTGAACTTGAGGATTTGTGACTAAAACCATATACATTTTCATCAAAAATCTATTAGGGCATTGGTACTCATTGAGCCTCCTCAAGACAAACAATTGAAAAATATGTCAGGAAAGATTAAGTTTTTAACTACAAGTTAAAAAGATATTTGAGCCCCCAGGTCCTTCTTAAATAATGGTATGTTTAGGTGATAGCATAAAATGAATCTCTATTTAAATTTAAATCTCTTTGCTCTAGAATTCAAATTGAAGAGAAGTAGGCCATTCTACAACAGGTAGTAAGTGCTACTAGCTCAGCAGGCATAAGGAAAGTGAAGGGTGTGGAGGTTACTTAGTACTAGTGTGCTCACATACTTCATTCTTTGTCATAAGCTAGTTGAAAACTAGCTTAATCTTCGAGCAACAAGAAGCAAAGGTAGTTTCTCTCTTTTTAGTGTAACATGCATATTAAATATACTTTCTGTCATTCTTTACTGCCTTATTTAAAGTTGTCTAGTCTCAGAAATGTTAGGCCATGTACATTGTGATTAAAATATGCCTTAATAAATTATATATTTACTTTAGTTAATTTTTCATCATTCTTGTGGATTAGGTGAAGGTTTCCAGAGCAAATGATCAATTTTGCATAAAACTATTTAACTAGATTTTGTTTCATTTTATCCATTCCCATACTTCTCCACATATTCCTCATTTCCTGTTTCTATTCCTCATCATTTTCTACTCTTCTGCATTGTGTCCTTGGGCAAAAGTTTTCCTTTTGATCTTAAATGGAAGATTGTTTCCACTGGGAATACAGTTCCAGACCTGAAGAGAGACTAAGTACCACACCGTGGGGAAGTCTACTGCTCTCGCACCAACTAATAAGCCTTGTTCCTTTCATGATTTTGGATTTTGTCCTATGATTTCTTCTCACTCTGTTCAGGGTATTTTAATTGATTCTTTTTAGTTCAATTGGAAGCAGTAGCCAGCAATTTTCTAATTCTTTTGGTCTCAGCGTTGAGTTGACTGATGTTTGCATGGTCTATTGTAGTCTTTTGGACAAATTGGATTTGCCATATGCCTTTTGGTTTTCATTATTCCTCTTTCCTCCAGAGAGATGAATAGCTCTAAGTTAAGTGGCTGTTCATGAGCTTTTTAGACTCCATTCACTCCTCATGGAAATAGGATGTAGAACATTATCCTTGTAAACTATGGTATGCCAAATGACGTGATGTCTCCTGAGGCTGGGGTCTTGAGCCTTTATTCCTGTAGCGTACTCAAGAAGTTTGGTTATGTCTAACACACATTCAGAACTTTTCCTCCTTTATACTCTATCACATTAATGGATATATTTGCATTAGTGGTAGACATGCATATACAAATATCCTTTGATAAATCTATATATATTCATGGGTAGACTCCCACTTTCCCTCCAACCCTGTCTATCCTGTGTGTCCATTTGACCATCTATTCATAGATCACTATTATTGCAGGATTGTGTGTATAAAAATACTAGCCTATGGTACCTCACTTAGATTTTATATAATGTGGAAAAGTTAAAAATGGCAAAAGATAACCAACAAATTTTCTCTCACCTTGAGAAGAGGCTCCATAATAAGATCACAGATTGCTCTGGTCATGTGCTACTGACCATGGATTTCTCCGTGTCAGGACACATTGCCTTTGGTCTGCAGACATGGCACATATGTGAACCTCAGTTTGTAACTGAGGCCAGGGAGGCAGAGCACGTCAGTGACTTACAGAATAGTTAGATGGTATTAGTGTTTAAAGACAAGAGTGGAAATGTGTTTCCCATTTTCAGTATAGTATTTTCACCTACTGGCTCACATTTCAAAATAATTGGAAGTTAAATCTATCTTAGAAATGATCTATTATTTAAAAACAAGTCATCCACAAATATTTATCAATTTACTTCAACTATTGAGAATTGTCTTCCCATTTCAATGAAACTATGATCTACCTCATTATAAAATAGGAACACATAAAAGTACCAGACATTTTAAAAGAGTCATTTCACAGACGTGCACTTTCAAAATCTGGTCAGTTACTATCATAATTATGCAATAAAATTACCTGAAATAAGATTCAGTTTTACATCTTGCAACATTTAAATTGATAAATTTTTTAATATTCACTAATTTTCCCAGTAAGCCTTCAAAACAATCCTACAAATAAGTCAAAAAAATTCTTTTTAAGTGATGCCTAGCAGATTAGATAGCTCCTAGAATTCAACTTCAGGTGTTTTTCTTGCAAACTTTGGACAATGTCATGTCATTCGCTATCAGTACAGAATGTTGACATTCAGATTACTTTTCAAAGAGGAGTGCTCCATTCTTCAAAGACACTGGATTTTTCATCATGATCTTGATAAGCTTATATTGAATTTTCAAGTCTTTTACCTTCCAGTGGTACTTATGAGCAGTGCCTTTGATAATATACTTTCATAGTGATGAAATTCATGCTAATTAATTGAGTCAACGGGAGAAAATAAAACAGAACACCTCACTGACAAGTGGTCAGTTCTGACTTACAGCACTGCTGTCAGACAGAGCAGACGCCCCTTTGGTTTCCTGAGCCTTTTAATCTTTACAATACCAGACAGTCTCATCTTTCTGTTCAGAGTGACTGGTGGATTCAAACCACTGACCTCAGGGTTAGAAACTCAGGGCGCCAAAGTTGGATTAAAAAAAAAAGCCTTTTTATTTTATGTGACTGTGATTTATTTTCTAGTGTAAGCTAAAGGAAAAAGAACAGCCAGATAATTTTCAGGTTATTCTAATTTTATGGAATCAAAACAGAAATAAATTCAGACAAGTGCAGACAAAGAAATTTGAACCAAGACCGACAATTTTAGCTCCCGTGGACATACCTTCACATGTTGGGAGGGAGCCTTCAAACTGCAGTTGGGAACTGAGCTTGCAGGTCAGCGTATCAGTTCCTGATAATGTGTACCCGGGATGACACTGATACTTCACAAAGTCACCTACAAGAGGCAACACAATCGTCTTGGAAAGTTGTTTGCTGAATTTCCATAACACACGTAGGAAGCAGATGAATCCATCAAATACACATGACTCATTCACTGCTACTGAGTTGATTCTGACCGGAATGGGAGTAAAAGTCACATCCCTTAGCCTCAGATTGGCTGCTGTTTTCAACTGGTTACCTTCTGGTTAGCCACCCAGAACCCACTAAGCCACCAGGGCTCCAAATATATATAATTACTATATACATCAATGTGAAACCCTTTCAGAAATAATGCTTATATTCAGTGTCAGTCTGCTTCCCAACATGTCATCATTTTTAGTTTGTAATACAAATGCTACCATAAGCTTAAACACTATTAGTATAGAAATTGTGTAGCATTTTCTTCTTCCTTGCCTATTCAAAGGGAAAAAAAAGGGGTGGTGGTGAAATAGATGCTTGATATTTGAAATTGTACAATAGAATGGCTTGAAGTATCCGCAGAGAGGGCTAATCCATGACCTTGGCCTAATTAGTGCAATGTTTCAATTAACTAAGTCATTATAAGTACAGAAATTGGGTCATAACAATTGACCGATGATGTGACACATGGTTTGACAACAGAACAAAGTATTTTTAATTGGGACTAAGAAATTCGGGGTCACTATAATTGGACTGCAAACATATGCCACAAATGCTTCTTTAGTGTGATCTGCTAATTATGTAATGAATGAGATCATTAATATAAAATGATCAAACAGCATTTATAAGTAGTAACATTAAATATGCTGTACCAATTCTATCCCAGTATCAATGAAAGGTCAATGTTATACTAATCATTATTTTAGCCACAAATGTGAGGTTTTTCCTCACATGCATAAACAAGTTCCTCTAACTGAATGCAAATATTTGCTCCTGTCTGTCTCTGAAAACTTAATTCAAAAGATAAATAACATATCTCCTCAAAAAATAATCATTGCCATTTAATTGATTTAGAGTATAAGAAAGCTCTATAAGAAAGAATAGAGCTGGCCCATAGGGCTTCTGAGGTTGTAAATCTGTACGGAGACAAATGACCACATCCTTGTCCCTCAGAACACCTAGTGGATCTGAACTGCTGACCAAGCATTTAACCACCATGCCACTAAGACTTCTTACAAAAGATAAATAGTAACTACTAAGCACTATAAATTATATAAAATATTCATAATGATAATATAAAAAGTCAAATATTTAAAAATATCAAATTTTTATTTTATCTGTATGAATAATTCTGATAATTGCTATAGTACATGGTATTTAAATGCATGGCTACTAACCAAAACCTTAGCAGTATTCCTTACATATGCAAGTTTCTAGCAGTGCTTTGAGGATTTGTTTGCCTGACAAATTATTCATTGATCGGTCTAAGAAATTTCTGCAATTGAAAGTGAGGGTTAAAGAGGTTGATTTAATTGTATTGTAATGAAGAAAATATTACCTATTTCAAAATCTTCATCTTCAGTAAGTATTTCTGCCAGTGGAACTGCTGGAGGAGACTGACACTTCTTGAGTTGAAATGCTAATTTTTTAATAAAAGAAAAATTGTTATACTTAATGGTTAAATAAAATATTATAAAAAGTTTCCTCTTGAATTTATATTGCTTAGTATGCTGGTATGTCTCTATTTGTTTTACAAAGTTCTACCTAGAAACTTCAAAAACAGAGTATAGGATAGCCAATGTATAAGTATCTTAGAAGGTAAATACTCTTTGGTTTATTTAACACCGAGGAAGAGCTAAGATCCATGTTAAAAAGTACACATTGTTTAAAACACTGTAACATTTAAATGAAAACATTTTACATATATATGACATTTTGAGAGTGAAATAATCATTATCTGGCTCTATGTTTTATTATTTGGCTTATCACTTCATCTTTTTTATTATAGTATTTAACTCATTGAAAATTTTCTAGTAGAACCATATCATAAAACAAAAAAGATCATAGGAAATGATTGCATCAGTTATGAGAAAATTCTATCTCCTGATAATATAAACAAAGAGCGTTAGATAGAAACAAGGCAAACACCAACGCTGCAGGAAGAATGAAGTTGAGTCATCTGTTGAAACCATGAGGTACAAATAAACTGACCATGGAAATTGAGGACAAAGAAGCCTCCATTTGAAAAGTCACTGTGAAATTTGAGCAGGACTTGATTGGTGGAGCTATAAGCTGTTTCAAGGGCTGTATTTCCACTGAAAACTCCCAGCTGAGGCGAGTTCTGGTCAGGACCGTCCCTGGGAAAGAGAGAAAAAGTGGTTTGCGTGGCAGGTTCTTAAACGACCTCTTAACCTGAGAGTCCATTTTCTTTGAACAGTGGAGCCAAATCTTGGTAAAAGCAGAATCGACTCCGCTGCACCAGGCTACAGCACTGATTTTAAAAGCCTGGAAAAAGGTCAGAGTAGAGTCAGCCCTAACTTCCATTTCTGAAATCTTCAGAGGAACACTAGAAACGCGGTCCCATTTATCAACTTCTTACATTTCCACATAATCAGTTCTCGAAGCAATGGCATCAATTTGTTGAAACATTTCCATTGGTATGCCATCAATTCCTGGACTCTTCTTTTTTGCTACTGCCTTCATGCCTGAATGAATTTCATCCCTCAATAGTTTTAATCCTTGATCTTCCCTCTTGAAATGGTTGAATGTCGACCAGTACTTTTGCTAACTTGACTCTATGTATTCAAAGCTACTGGTTCAGGTAATTATTACCTCACGCCAGTATTATTGTACATTTTCAAAAGTCAACCTTCTTACTTTCACAAACGTAATTTAGTTTTCACAAGATTATACTGATTGCTCTGCTATCAAATCTGAGTTTATAACCCCCTCACTTAAAATCTATCCATGGCTCATCATCATTGTTAGGAGAGAAACCTGAATCCTAAGTTGATTTTATTAGGCCCTGGATTTTCTGTCACTGTCTACCATTGCTAAGTGACTTCTTATTTTTCATCCTCTAGGACTCTAATAATAGTTCAGCTACATCATAGTTTGTGCCTTCCGATTCTTTGAGGTCACAGTGTTCTCTTGTGTGCAGTTACATAATTTTATGTCAACCTGAAGATATCTAAGAGTGTGTAAAAGTGTAGGGGTGGTCTCCCCCCAACCTGTCAATCAGGTCGCAGTGTGACAGTACGTCCTTATGGGTATGGCCTTCTCATAAGGAGGGCCCTGAGAACTTGCACCTCTCTCTGCTCCTGTCTCTGACAGTTACCAGAGCCCTGCCATTTTGCCACTGACCTTGGATCCATGCAACTTTTCACCACCAGGCTGTGATCTCCCTGCACTCTGCATGTGGTTGGGTGAATCTGGAAAGGTTGATGGACTAGAACCAGATTTTGGCTTGAGTTGGTTGGGCTGGGAGGTCTTCTTGATATATAATTACTTCTTGATATAAATCTCTTTTTTACACAGTGTCACTGGATTTGTTTCTCTAGTCAACATGGCCTAACACATCTTGCCTTACATACTTTCCATTAATAAGGACCATTTATACCTCTTTCAATTTTCATGATAAAAACTGCCCTGACTCTTCTGATTTGGGGCATAAGCTTCTTCTAGTCCCCAGGAGTAGGCAGTATTTCTTCCATCAGAGAAAAGCCACGGAAGTATAATCATTTTATTCCCTCCAATAATCTCTCACCTCAAAAAGCAAGAGCAGCAATAGTATTTCCATAGGCAGGAATATTAAGTTGAGAATAATTTAAGTAATTTATCCAGAGCTACATAATTGATTCGAAAGAGTCAATCTTTCTTCTCATCCCCGGTTTGATATTACTTACCACATATAATAATTATAAAATAATCTTGAGACGTTATCATCTATTAAAAGTAATCATGAGGGTATCTATGGTTATCATTGCTATCATTGTATGAAACTTGAGTCTGTACTGACTCATGGTGATCCCATCTGACAGAGCAGAGCTTCTCTAAGGGCTTTCCAGGCTGCCAGCTTTATAGAAGAAGATGATCAGGTTCTTTCTTCTGCAGAGCTGCTGGGCAGATTCAAACCACTAACCTTCTAGTTAGTAATGGAACAATTAACTAAGGCATCACCAGAAGTCCTTAAGAATATATCTACTATGCAGCAAATTGCATGATATTTATATATCTGAATTTAGTGCATTTATTCTACAGTATATAGCTTATCACTGTGTTTCTAAATATAAAATCTGACATATAGGTAACAAGTCAAAACAGATTCACATAATTATCCATTGTTTTTACTTGTAAGATTCACATACCATACAGCGATATAATCATTCACAGCTTCAGTTTGCAACAAGGTGAAGTTAATATATACTCCATGGCCCTGAGGAACAGTGATAAGCCAAATGCAATCCTTTAAAATTGGATATTCATCTGGAAATCCAGGGGAATATATAGTCCCATTCTGAGATGTAACATTATAGCCACAAGGAGCTAAAAGAGAGCAAAAAAGAATTAAGACTAATAAAGTCTTCTTTCAAAAGGATAAATTAAGTATTTCTAAATCTCTGTAGTTACTTATGCAAAAACTTTCCATTTATAAGAACTAATTATGAAGTGTTTCTTAATAAATAATATATTAAACTTATCCTAAAGTCCTGAAAGTTTAGAAGAATCATGTATCTAAGCTCATTTATCTTAGTTTCATTTATTATATCCCAATATTCAAAATCCTCTTTTGGGTAGTCATTCCTATCTGATTAAAAAAATATTTACCACTCATCACTGGGCTAATGGGCACTTTGATGTAGATCAAGCTGACACAAGAGATCTTGTAGAAATTATGCACAACTATATTACTGAAATTAAAAAAAATTAGGACACATCTAAAATCTATATAGGCTAATATAAGGAGAATGGTGTTTAATAAATCTGGCTTGAAGCAAATGTATTTTCATTACTATTTTGGAGATGAGTAATGGGACTAAATCATGGAAGTGATGTTATTCTGAAGCACTTCCAGATTTTACTAGTTTTCCAATATATGAATAATCACAACAATATCCCATCAGTCTATTATGATTTTATTTAGTGAGTCCATAAGTAGTGTGGCAACAAGAATTACTATATTTCATTAATGGATAAGTGAAATGACCTGTGATCTTGTCTCTAGTTAAGGTAGTTCCATAGTGTCTCAAAGTCCTGGTCAAGTAACCTGTGGGATCAAACTGATGGCTGTGTTATGAGCATCAGGCACAGAACTCTGCTGGGGCATTTAAAGAATTGCTACAGAAGGTGTAAATTTCACTACCGTGAATAGGCCAAAGTAGAGAAAGAAAGTTTAAAAAGCAACACTTTGCAGCCATTTTAAAAAGGATTGATGAAATACCAGCAGGCAATATATGATATATTGCTAAATTAAATGTACAGACACATATTGATTTCAAAGAAGACAGAAACAGGTATCAGTGTGAAATAGATTGAATCTGAACTGAGTTTTAGATAAACTCATTAGAAGTGACTAGGGTGAATTGAGGTTGTGTAGTGTAATAAAAATAGGTGTGATTTTGGAGTCTGACAATCTAGGATAGCTAATAAATTATTACTTAGATTCTCCAATTCTGTACATTTCATGAGTAATATAATGAGATTTACCATCCATACAATGGAGCCTGGAGCGATGCTGTAAGAGGTGACAGAGAAGTACAAATGACTCACTGGGAGGGTCTGCGGCTAACCTAACAATTGGAAGTTTGTGTCTACAAAGAGGAGACTGAGAAGAAATTCCTGGTAGTCAACTTCTGAAAAATCAGCCAGATGCAAGTTTTGGGGGGCACGTTGCGTTTTACTCTGGGAGCCTTGGTGGTATAGTGGGTCACTCACTGGGTTGTTAAGCACAACATGAGCAGTTTGAAACAACCAGCTGCTTTGACGGAGAAGGACGAGGCCTCCCTCCTATTAAGATTAAAGCCTTGAAACCTCACAAGGGCAATTCTACTCTGTCCGATAAGGCCAGTATGAATCGGATGAACTCAATGGCAGTGACTAGCGGTGTTCTGAAACGCATAGAGCTGTCATGATGCTGACGCTGATACGTCTTCGCTTCATAAACTGGACCGTGAATAAGGAAGACTGGAAATGAATGGGTGCAATCAAATTATGGTGGATTGCCAGAAGAACATAATGATTCTGTCTTACTGGAAGTTCCACGAGTATTCTCCGTAAAAGGAAAACTGATGAGGCTTCATATCATGTACTTTGGGCATAGTTTCAGGAGACATCGGTCCTACGTAGAGGGCATTGTGCTGAGTAAAGCAGCAGGTCAGTGAAAAAGAGGCAGGCCGTCCAGAAGACATATCGACAGAGGGAACGCAGCAGGGCCGCAAGCATCCCAACAATTGTGTGGACGGCCCAGGGCTGGACAGTGTGTTGTTCTTTCCTTCACAGGGTTGTTCAAGGCAGCTAACAGTAAAAACGGGGACAAAACCAATTCCTAGCAGAATGTTGTGTGTGATACACGGCATGTTAAACTGGAAGTTTGGGCATCCTCAAGGAACTCAAATTGAGTTCCTTTTCAATGTTTTATGAGATTTGTGAACATAAAGAAGTTTTCAATCATGTTTTAGGTAAGTTTAAAATATCCATTTTGCATAATACATTCCTCTGTAAGTAAATGTATCAATATTTAAAGCACATAAATATAAATTGATTTGTAAACAAGAATTTTATTTCTAGATTGATGGTTTTAGACAAGTAATTCTTGAGTATTCATTTTCTGAATTGGCCAGTCTTGAGTAAAGAGGCCTGGAAATTGATCGGAGTACCTACATTTTTCTCTGAGGTTCTTATGAAGCGCACAGGGTTGTGGTCTTGGAAGATGGCTTTTCAGTACATTTGCCCTAGGTACTAATCATGGATCTGAGGCGGAAAATCACCACTGATGACTGAAATACATTTTAAGCCAGGGTATTGGATCATAAGCTGCAGTCCCTGTGGAGAGCTTGGCCATAGACCGTCTGAACACCAACAGGCTGACTAACCGAGGCTCATGGATGGAACAAAAACTGATTTGTTGTTTAAGGATATATAGCCTTTTCAGATAAAAGAACACTTGCTTTAAAATCATTCCTTTTCCTTAATTAAAACAAATTATGGTTTGTTTTTTAAGTTATGACCTTTTGATAGAAAAAAGACAAACAATGTTGAAAATGTCTCATCTCATAATACTTTTATGCCATTATGTTGATGGTATATCATCAAAGATTGTATTACACTCATACTAAAAAACTATTCCTGTGCTGGAATATTTATTTCCATATGAACAACTAACTTTTTTAAGATAGAAAATTAAATATTGAACTCCATTTCTTATATTAAATCATGGTTTTTATCATTTAAAAATGAATACAGACCTAACTTACAAAAAAAGATAGGATTTAAATCTTATTAATTTCAAAGTGATATATGCATATAAAATGTGCTTAAATAAAGAGCAATATTAATGTTTCTAAGCATGTTTAGTTGGTAAAATATGAGATATGCTACTTCTATACTTAATTTTAAAAAATTAATTTTAAAGTGATGTGTTTATATGCAATATATAAGAAACAGATTAGGTTTATACAGCTAAAATTGAGATTTTTTTTGTAGTTGTTTCTAAAATGGTATAGCATGAAAAAATAGAAAGGTGGTTAATTTGATTTTAAAATTTTACTGATGCAGTTCTTTTTTTTTTCCCCCTTTGATTCCTTCCCTAGAAATCCAAACAGCAACATCCCTTCCCTTTTTTCTCCATGGGGTGTGAGGGTTTAGCATTTCAAAGGTCTACAGAGTTGGTAATTTAATTATTATCTTTCATTCAAAGGTACTGTATTAGAAGTGTTAGAATATTAGATTCTATAGTTACTTTTCTTTCTCATTCATTTTTCATTAATAAAATACTTTTTAAATTTTAACTTGATATTGAATGTTTTTACAATGACTCCCAGAAATTTGAGGAGCCACAGACAATGTTAAAGTATTTATGCTTCAATTATTCCAGTTCTTTACTTATCACAATTCCCCATCAACCTGACCCCCAATAGCACCTAAGCAATCCCTATTGGCACGCACTCCTAGACTACGTTTCCTTTTCATGAAGACCGGTCCTGGCTCTCAGGTCTTTGTGTACACACTTCCTTTGTTATTTGGAATGCTCCCTACCCATGAGTAGAAAAATGTTATGTATCCTTCGATGCCCACTATAAAGATAAACTCAATGTATGAAATATGAGTCATATGTGGATATTTTAGAAGAACATTAAATAGTATTTATGAAAAAAAGTACTAAAACCCCATGCACCCAATTCCAAAATTGATGTGACCATTTTAGGTAAGGAAAACTTCCCTAGGATAGTAAAAACTGCCACGATCATCCTCTACATCGATATGTACTCTGTTTGTGTCTGACTTTACATGGTAGTTACGTGTGTTTCCTTTTTTGTTATTGTCATAATGTCCTCAGGTCAAGCTGTGTGTGTGTGTTTGTTTTTTACCATCTGGTATATATATTTCCAGAATACCAAGTAGGAAAAAAAATCAATGTACTACATATTATAATATGCTATAATATACATGAAAATTTAAATTGCTCCTCAAGAAAAGACATTAACGTACCATCACATCTTGGAAAAGGATAGTTCCAATTTCTGTTGATTCCATGCAGACAAGTGAGAACCGAATGGCCTATTAAAATGTACCCAGGGTAGCATTCAAAAGATACTGATTGTCCCACACTATAATCTGAGTTGATCATATACCCATTTTGAAAAGGAGGTGGATCTGGGCAGTTCTGTAATTCATAAGCTGAAACAAACAAACAAACAAACAAACAAATTCAAGCTTATACATAAGTTTAAATTTAGTTAGAATCAGAGGAGGAATATGATCGAATATGACTTTTTAAATACTTTTAAAAATGTCTCTTCCATTTGCCAGTCATCATCCTGAGAGAGAAAAATAGTATGTAATATTAATAATAGAATTATAATAACATGCATTGAATGCCTTTTCACTGTTTCCCTCAGAAGAAATATAAATTGAAACTGCATTTTTTGAGTTGACTCTGACTCATAGCAACCCAATAGGATGGAGTGGAACGGACTCTGGGTTTCGGAAACTGTAGATATTTACAGTAGCTGACAACCTTATCTTTTCATGCACAGCAGCTCTTGGATTCTAACTGCTGGCCTTGTGGTTAGCAGGTCAGCACATGACCCACTAAACCCCCAGGACCCCAATCAGAATTAGAACAGGTCATGTCAAAAAAGAATTTGACAGTATTTAACTTAGAGATTACATGAAGTAAACTTAATCTTTAAAAAGTATCACAAGTAATATAAAATGTATATAGTCAACATAGCCCTAGGATTGCCCTTTTCATGCAAAATAAAAAATCACTCCAACCTAAGTGTTTCTTGTTCAGAAATATGCCATTGCTTTGTTTTATTTACTTCAGTGTTCAATATAAATAAAGAAGGAAGCATAAGCCACCTTTTTAATATTTTTCACTGGAAAAGGAAAACACACCCAGTAGAACCATTAAGCTAGCAATTAGCATCAGTTTAATCTTTCAAAATATAGTTTATTGTGCTTTGTCATTAAGTCTTTTGTGTGCTTCAGAATAAATCTAGGTAGTACATTGCATAAGAAATGTTATTTGCAGTCCGATTTAAAATTTAGCCATAAACTTGTAAGAATTAACTAATCCATGAATTAGATAAAATTTCTTGATAACTGCCAACAGGGTTGGCATTTCAAACTCATCAGTAGCGTCTCAAATTCTCACTGTCATGGAGTCAATTCGGACTCATAGTAACCCTGTAGGACAGGGTAGAATAATCTCTGTAGGTTTCTGAGATTGTAACTCAGGAGTAGAACGACTCAACCTTTTCCCTCAGAGCCCAGCTTATAACCACTCCATCCCAGGGCTTGGGAGAAATGTTGCCCATTTATTTCCACAAGGATTGTTATTATTGTTTGAGGTGTCAGTGAGTCAGTTCCAACTCAGAGCCCCCCTATGCACAACAGAAAGGAACATGATACTGAAGCCCACTATTGCAGCCACTGTGGCCACCCATCACCTGGAAGGCCTTCCTCTTTTGTGCTGCCCCTCTGCTTCACCAAGCATGAGCTCCTTCTCCTGCAGCTGGCTCTTCCTGAGAGCATGTCCAAATTACGTAAAGATTACAACCTAGAAAATCCTATGGGGTAGTTCCTATAGTCTTATGGGGTCCTGCTGAAATGATTAAGTGGCATACAACAGCCACCCGTTAGAGAGGGAAATGAATAAATCAAAACACTGGAAGCCCCTAGGATCTTCTAACGCCCAGAGCACACTATTATACATGACGACAACTGGGAATTCACCAGCAGCATAAAAAGTCCATGCTGTGCAGAATCGAGTCAGCAGAAACGTGGGCTCAGCTCCTCCAGTCATATATTCCCATTGAAAACAGACAGTGACCCTCAGCACCAGGCTACCCACAATCACTCAGAAAACAATCTGAGCTCTTCCTTGAATCAGCTGAAAATAGAGTAAGTATATAAAGGACACATGTAATGACTAGAGAAACCTTTCATATGGGAAACTAAGTAAAAGGGAATCACAATGTAAATTGTTGAAATAGATGACTACTCTTGGTGGATAAAAAACAATGTTAATTTTAAAATAACTGCCCCAAAGTTAAATATTGTATAAATTATATTGGGCTTTCTCCAGATTTTGGATTTTACATGTCTGCATTAAATTCCTGCAATAAAGAAGAGTGGTAAAAGCTAAGGGGACTAAAGCCAATGGCGCACATTGCGGCATATAAAAAATGGATGGATATATGAAAATGTATAGAAAAGTAATGCTAATTAGTTACTTAACAGTAGGTTAATAGGCGTGTGATTTGGATATATTTGAAGATTATATTTAAGAGACATAAAATCCAGAATATGAGTTAGTATTTATATTTATAAAATCTAATGTGGGCTCTACATGGAAAGATATCAATCAAGAGATGCTACAAATGGACATGCATTTTAAAGATCAATGTATTTTCAGAGCCACTATATGCAAACATCATCAGGTAGATGGTTCAAATGAGAGAAGCATATTCACTCATGGGGCAGTTGTATAATGTATCTAAACAAGAGTCCAATAAACAGTCGGATAGTGATTGAGATAAGATAGACAGAAATAAAGAAGCAAAAGGTCAAGGTCAAGGAGTATTTTGAGATAGCCCTTAACATTGGATATCAGGAAGACAGGGTCCTAGTATTATGCAAACTGCCCTCCACCACGTGGGAGTTTTCTGGAGGAAGGTTCTGGATAGTACCTGAAAACTACGACCCTAACACTGATTGTCATTTACTACCCAAAGAAGTGTGTATGCGTTTTCCCTAGTTATTTCTGATGTTACATCTTGAATCTATAATGTAATGGAGATAAGTGCTGCTTACTTAAAAAATATCATGGTAAAATCAAATAAGTCAATTTATGTGACAGGGTTTTAAAAGTTATAATATTCTAGGAAACATGGGCAAGAGTTGGTGAAGTTGAGTATACTCATTATTTTAGTATTATCTTTTGACCCAGACTCTAGAATTTTACTAAATGCTGGTAGATTCATTTTTATTTAGGCTATCAAACTTAATTTTACCAAATATCGAATAAATGTTTTGATAATGTTTCATGGTAAAATTGCACTAAAGCCTTGGAATAAAAAGGAACTCTTTAAGAATTTATTTCAGCTCAATGAACATCATAAGCACAATTGTTATTAATAAAAATTACTAATGATTATTTACAAAAAAAACAGATGTCTCTAACTCAAAATGTTGTGAAAATGAATTTTTAAGTTTAGCGTAAGACAAACGCTGTACAATATGAAAAAATAGAGTGTCATTTATGTGTTTTTTCATCTTTTAAATGTAAATGTTGATGCTTAAAACCTCAGTAATATTTGAACTAAAGCGGAAGAAAATTTGTTGTTCAAAAGCAAAGATTATCTTAAAAGAGCACACCTTGAATGCTAGAATGGCATGTGTGGCCTCAATTTTCGCTTTTGTTAAAGCCATCACATGCTATTTGAAAATTTCCACAAAATAAACCAAACTCACTACCACGGAGTGAAAGTGGACTCGTGACGACTTATAAGCAGAGCAGAACTGTCCCGTGTGTTTCATAATCCTAACCCTTTCTGGAGTAGAAAAGACCCGCTTTCTCCCAAGTAGTAGCTGGTGGTTTCAAACTGCTGATCATCTGGGTGGTAATCAAATGTAAGGATTTGGAATATTAGAACAGAAACCCAATTCAAATAAGTGTCTTTTCTTTCTTTCTCTTTCTCTCACATAAGTGCAAATGCAAAAAATACACATTTTCTAAGCCTGGCTAGATAATCTGAAAAACACACACAACAGGGTCATCTCCTTGGTACAAGCTTTAAAAACAGTTGTTCCCTGAAAATCAATTGTGATTGATATACTTAGTATAAATATGAGTAAACTTATTTTAAGTCTTTATTCAAAACTATTTATTTGAATTTCAACATTGTTATCCTCCCAAACACTTGATATATATATATATCACAGTCATATTCTATTTTCTAAATATATTTGCCCAAAGAGTCATTATCTATTTTAATGTAGAGAGATTTGCATTAATATAAAATACTATTTTCATAGTCTGAAATACAGTAAATTCAAACAAGAAATAAAACAAACTATTTGGTAAGCTATAAATAAATGAATTCTGGAAGGCTCCCTATTAAGTGTTTTTAGACTGAAATATAATGTTTTGTACTATATATTTTTTAATCCTTTCTGATAATGGAACATGGAAGTACATGATTGTAGAGGTGTGGACATGATTAATATGCTCTGTAGTTTTGAAGATAACTACAACTAATTGTCAGAATCATCTTCTAATTATGGTTTTCTCTGTAGTTTTGAAGACAATCTCACAACTAATTGTCAGAATCATCTTCTAATTATGGTTTTCTTACATACTACTGATCACAGAAGATTAATTTTAAAATAAAAAATGTAGAAAATAGCTATAATGTAGGAGAAAATAAGCAAAAATGGAAAAAAAAAACAAACATGGAGAGTTAAAAAAATATGGACAACAAAACCAAACCTCACACACCTCAGTAGAAATAAAGAAGTAATCTTTTAGAATAAACAGCAGCAACAACAAAATTCTCAAAAAATTTTCTATTTAAGCTGGCTGAAATATGACAACTTGGTCATATATATCTTTATTCCATAGTTGAGGATTCTGAAAGAACTTTAGAAAGAGCCCCAGTGGTGAAATGGGTTAAGTTGGACTGGTTACTGATAGGCTGCTCAAAAGAATTTTAGAGAAATTATCTAATACTTATATAGATTTGTTTACTATGTGTCATTGAAAAGTAGAATTAGTAAAAACAATTGTGAACAAATAGAAAAATCTATATCAAAAGTATGAGAGCCTAGAAGTATTATGAAAATGGTGTTCTTAGAAGGTAAAAGAGATAAACCTGATATTCTCAACAAAATGGTCATGGGATCCTGGACATACCATTCAACTTCAGGAGCCCCTTTTATTCACTGTGCAGGGAAGCCACGCCCCCTGTGGAACAGCAGGTAAGTCCTGTGTTACTAATAAAACGTAGGAGGCTTGAACCCCTCAGAACAGAGTAAAACTGCCCTCGAGTTCCCTTGGCTATAATCTTAATATTTGAAAGTATGCACAGAGAGTTGCATGGTTTGCTAAACTCGGAATGACACAGCAGGAGGATGACATTGCATTACTCACCCAAAAAGACATTTCAAGA